TCTCCCCATGGAGAGGATTTATTAGTTCTTGGATAGGCTTGCTTTGGCCCTGGGACACTCCCTTGAGAAGAAATCTATGACCACGGGACACCGCTTTTCTGTAAAAAGCACCAAATACATGTGCATGGTTTCTGTTGGTTGAGATGCTCCATTTTTGAGCAACGACCCTGAGCTGGGGGAGGCATGAGAAGAAATGAGAGGAGACCAGGCTCCCTCTCTCCTGGAGGTGACAGAGACATGCAGGGCAGAAACATTCTGAGTCGGGGCCCCACAGCCTGGGAGAGTCGTGGCTGGTGAGGACGGAGGCGGGGACAGCTCGGGGAACCCCTGCCTGCTCGTCAGTGGCCACCCTGGTTCCGGCCACAGCCTCTGCAGGGAGCCTCAGGGAGCGACTCCATTCTCGGGAGAATGTCACTGTCCCCGGGTCCCTGGGACTCCTTCTCGGAAGGCTCTGCTCAGGGTAGGAGGCTGGGGGGGCTTGGACACGGGAGGCAGCTGCAGGCGGACATGTGAAGCGGCGGACACCATAGACAGAGGGACTGGGCGTAAGGCACGTCTTAGCTGAGGACAGCCTGGCAGGGTTGCACTTTTATTTTTCTGATCCGGGCTTAAATTCTGTTCTGGGTGCCAAGGAAGAGCTAATCCAGGTCATCTCCACCACCCCAGCGGGTGATCACTGCTCCTCGAAGGCACGAGAACGGAACTTCGGAAAGGACCTGGAGGAGGGATGCCCGTGAACTGCCCCGGCCCTCTGCTTACGTGTTTACCTGGAACTGCAGCTTGGGAGCCAGAAGGTTGGTTTGCGGCGGGGGTCTGTACTTGGGCCGGCTGGGCTGGAGAGAGAACACAGAGATGGGTCAGTCCCTGTCTCTCTCCTCCAGTGAACACAACTCACAAGAGGAACATCAGGTAGGGGACAGCTCAGCCTTGTCCAGAAGGAAGGAGAGTTGAGGGACAAAGTGGTTAATATCTAAAAATCCTTCTGCATCCACTTACTGAACACCAATTGTCTGATGAGTGATGGGGCGGTACAGAGGGGCCACCTCTCTGCCCCCCAGGGGGATCGCTAATTGGAGGGGTCAATGATCTGTGTGTGTGTGGCCTCCCTATGTGTGGGAGCACCTGCCCAGTCAGAGATCCACAGCCACAGGCATTCAGAGGTAGGAGGCCACCAGGGGCCCAGGCACTCATGGAAGCTTCGTGGAGCTGGGCCTGAGGGAAGGGGCAGGACGTGCCAGGCAAGAGGGACCGGATTGGGCATTGTTGGGGACTGAATGTTCGTGTCGTCCCCCTCGATTCACATGTTGGAGCCCTAACCCCCAAAGATGGTATTGGGAGGCTCAGCCTTTGGGAGATGATTAGGGTTAGATGAGGTCATGGGAGTGGGGCCCTGCCGTGGGATTAGCATTCTAATGACAAGAGGAAGAGAGGCCAGAGATCTCTCTCTCTCTCTCTGCCAGGTGAGGACATAGTAAGAAGGCGGCCGTCTGCAGGCCAGAAAGAGAGCCCTCGCCAGACACCAGCACCTTGACCTTGGACTTCCCAGCCTCCAGAACTGGGAGAGACAAACGTCTGTCGCTTCAGCCACCCAGTCTGTGGTACTTTGTTACAGCAGCTCTAGCTGACTAATACAGGCCCGATCTCCCAGAAGCCACCCACCTCATGGCAGTGGAGCGCTGGCTTCTGGGCCCAGGGCTGCCATGGAGGACGGGGACACAAAGACTGGACCCAAGGGGCCCAGGACACTCCCCATCTGTGTGTCCTCAGGGGATCTCGTTTGTCCCTGGAAAACTCCTAGAAGTGCCTAGCCTCTCCAAGGAAGCTTTTGAGGGACGATTCTTGACCTGCTGTCCCACAAGGTGCCTGTGTCTCAGATGCCACCTGTCAGGGCACTGGTGTGACAGGCCGGGTTGAAAGGCTGAGAGAGAGCCGGGCGGGGTGGCTCACGCCTGTAATCCTAGCACTCTGGGAGGCCGAGGCGGGCGGATTGTTTGAGCTCAGGAGTTCGAGACCAGCCTGAGCAAGAGCGAGACCCTGTCTCTACTAAAAATAGAAAGAAATTAATTGGACAACTAAAAATATATAGAAAAAATTAGCCGGGCATGGTGGCGCATGCCTGTAGTCCCAGCTACTCGGGAGGCTGAGGCAGAAGGATCCCTTGAGCCCAGGAGTCTGAGGTTGCTGTGAGCTAGGCTGACGCCACGGCACTCTAGCCCGGGCAACAGAGTGAGACTCTGTCTCAAAAAAAAAAAAGAAAGGCTGAGAGAGGATGGTAGGGGCATCCTGCCTACACAGTGAGTCAGACAGTGACCTGCCTCCGCTGTGACTCACGGGACCCACGAGGCCAGAACTTGGCTTACCTTGGGTGGGGGTTCCTGGAAGGCTGCAGGCTCCAAGATTTTGGGGGGTCGGTAGCGAGCATTCCTCTCTTGCTCTATGGCAATGTCCTTTTCCATCTGATAGATGTCACTGCCCAGGAGTCAGGTCAGATGGGGGAAGAGAAACAAGGTCAAAGTAAGATGCCCCTCAGGGGCCCCTGTTTGTAGGGGAACCGCTGGGTCCACTTCCTTGTCCATCTCCCTGCAGGGTGGCCTGGGAGAGCTCTGAGAGGGGCTGGAATGTGGGCCCGAGGCCCTCTCGGTGCTGCTGACCAACGGCCGTGCCTTCTGCCTGCAGCCCTCGATCCCCGCTCACCTGAGGCTGCACACGAGCTCCGTGAAGCGGGGCCGGTCGCTGGGGTCGTAGTCCCAGCAGCGGGTCATGAGGGTGTACAGCACAGGCGGGCAGAGGTCGGGCTTGGGCAGCCGGTCCCCTTTCTCGAGCACCCCGATGACGTCCTTGTTCTCCAGCCAGAAGAAAGGCTGCTTCCCAAAGCTCAGGATCTCCCACACGCACACGGCTGGCGGAGAGGGATGCTCAGGCCCAGGGACAGGCCAGCCCTCCCCCCAGGAACACTGTGGCCCTCGGTGCTCCGTCCCAGCCAGGGAGGGGCTCCCTTATCATCCTGCCTCTCCCCCCAGCACCCGGGGTCTTGCCCGCCCTGGCGGTCCACCCGGGGCTGACGACCTGATGAACTATGACCTCCCTCCCTCGGCCCCTTTGAGGTGCAGCTCTTAGGGCTCAGGAGGTGGCCGTCAAAGCACATCACTGGGACCCCCAGTGCCTTCTCTTAGAAGGGAGTGGAGCCCCTATCAGAGAGCTGAAGGTGGAAGCTTAGTGCCGACATTTGCTGCCCATGCAATCGTGGGCAAGCCTTTGACTTGTCCCAGCCTCAGTTTCCCCGTCTGGAAAATGGGAGTGATAATAAGGAGACTTTCCTGGGTGGCCGTGGGAGCACTAGGTGGGACCACGTACAGGCTGGTGCTCTGTAAGGGGCTGACCGATCACACCCGCCGTTGTTCTTGCCACTGCCTGAACCTCCTTCTCAGAACAACCTCAAACCTGTGACTTCAACATCCCTCCAGGGTGGCCCCGTGTTAGTCCTGGGGGGCTGCTTGGTGGAGCCCACCCTCGTCACAAGAGCCTTTTCCAGGAAGGTGACCCCATACGGCCCAGGCCAGCCCTCGGTCCATGTCACCCCCACTGCCACCAGGCTCCCCACCTCTGGGACTTCTTAGTGGCCACAGTAAAACAGGACTCTTGGAACTTGAGGAAGGGCAGAGCCCTGTTCCCTGCGCCCCCTGTGGCCTGGTCCCGGAGGGCAGGACCCGATTCCCATGCCCTCCCCAGTCACCACTCACCAAACATCCAGACGTCGCTGGCCGTCGTGAAGCGGCGGAAGTTGATAGACTCTGGGGACATCCATTTGATGGGGAGACGAGTCACAGAGGCTGTAGATGGGCGAAGAGGTTTACAGCAGTTAATTAGGGAGAAAGATACAGAATTACCCAGAAGTACAGCTACTCCCCAGAGACCCTTGGCCTGGGCCACCCATCCACAGGCTTCAGCGACCCTCCTAGGACAAAGCAGGGGCCAGAATGTCCCCCTCACCTTTGTAATATTCCTCGTCCTCAATGTACCGGGAAAGGCCAAAGTCCCCCAGCTTCACACACTCAGGGGAGGCCACCAGGATGTTCCGGACAGCGATGTCCCTGGAAGAGGGATGTCAGGGCCAGGCTGAGGTGCTGCCCCCCTTGCAAGCAACACTTTAGCGAGACAGAGAGGCTGAGGACAAGAGTGCCAGCCAGAGTCCTGGTTGCTGGAGCAGAATCCGGCAGCTTCTGTGGGTCTCTGTCCCCACTGAGTGGTCTTGCTAAGGCACTGCTCAGGTGGGAGCCTGGCCAACCCTCTGCCCTGACACGCACAGGACCTTGTCATCTCCTTCCCTCCCGCTGCCACGCTGCCTCTCATCACCCTTCTCACGAGTCTCCAGCTCATAGCACTGGCTCCCCACGCGCCCCTTCTGTGCCTGTATGGTCCCTGTGCTTGGGAGCAGTCACCCTGCTGATTCTTCAAGGACAAACCCCAACAACCTCCCTGGGACGGCAATGTCCTGCTGCTGTGCATTGCTGCAGGGCCGTGTAGGCTTTTGCTAAAGCAGCAGCCGCAGCTCACACTTCCATGGAGCACTTAGGATCACACAGAGCTTCGCATACCCCGCGTCATGACACAGAGACCCTCAGAGCCCCCCGGTGCAGGGAGGAGACCTGGACAGAGAGCTGAAGGAACCTGCCCAGCAGGTCAAGGTGGAAAAGGGTACAGCCCAGGTAGCCTACCCAGAGCTGAGCTCTTACCCCTCCCAGGAGAAGTACCACCGACTCAGTTTACCCCGTGTTTGCCTGCATGCTTCTCACAGACAGACTCCACGCCTTAACAACCTTTGTTTTTATTATTGAAAAGATGGCTTAAAAGCATGACTTCAAATAAACAAATGATCAAAGGAAACGAATCTATCATCCCACCACCTTAGCCCAGGACTGTTGACGTCTCACGTTTGACCCTCAGGCTAGAGTATAAGCTTCCCAAGGAAAGGGACAGTTTTCTGATTTGATCAGGACTTTGTCCCAGAGCCTAGGACAGTGCCTGGCACCAAATCGGAGTGCCATGATATTTATCGCATGAGTGTGCTGGTTTATGTCCCCCCAGTGTGACTCTGCGTAGAATCAGGCACAAGGCCACATGGCCAACGTCAATGGTGGGGTACGTGCCCTTCGGCTGACTCCCCCAGGGGGTCAGGTTGCTGTGGCAGGGACGGAACAAAGACAGGTGGAGGAGGGACCAGCTCCACGGCCGCAGGGAGGCTGGGACTCAGCAGCCCAGAGGTCCCGGGGAACCAGGGTGCTGTCCGGGCCGGGACCCTGGGATCTTCCTGGAGCTGCTGCAGCCCAGTCTTTTCTTCCGTGTGCCACCACGCGCACGAGCTGGAGGACAGTGGGAGCTCTGCGAGGTGGGAAGCGCTGTCCTGGCACTCACGGGGGAGGGGCTAGAGGTCTGAGCTACCATCTGACACCTCAGACTTCGGAGTTAGTCTTAACAACACTGAGAGGCATGGGTGGCTCTTTCAATTTTACCGATGAGGAGGTGGGTTCAGAAGCTGGTGGCACAGGTGGGGCCGACGCCGGGATCCCAGCACTGGTCTGCGCGTGCTCCAGCTCTACTTCACCCAGACGCCGGGGCAGGGGAAGGGCCCGGCTGCCTCCCTCCCTCCCTACCTGTGCACGCAGTTGATGCTCTCCAGGTAGGCCATGGCCTTGCATATCTGCAGCGCGTACAGGACCAGGGTGAGCACCTTCAGGGAGCTCTTGTTTCGCTCCAGGTAGTGGCCCAGCTGCAGGAAGGGAAGGTGCCGTCAAGACCCCTGGTGTGACCCTAGCACCGAGCCAGGGGTCCCAGACTGCTGGCGGCCCCCAACCCTTCCCGGGAGGCAAACCCAAAGCCGCCAAGATGTTCCAGGAATTTCCTCTACAAATGAGGCTTCTGGGCTGTTTTAGCTGAATAGAGAAGCTGGGGAGGAAGGGCCCCCACCCTGGCCCAGCGTCCTGGTCCCCTTCCTGCCGCTTCCGGCTCACCTCCCCGTAGGAGTACAGCTCCATGATGATCCAGGTGGGCTCCTCTTCGATGATGCCGATCAGCTTCACGATGTGTGGGTGGTCGAGGTTCTTCATGATCACTGCAGTGGGGTAAGGGGACCGGCCGGGGCACTCAAAGTCCAGCACAAGAAACGTGCTGTGCTGTCCCGGCAGGAGACACGGGGAGTAGAGCCCCCCTCCAACATGGTCCCAGCACTGCTCACATCACCCCCCACCTGCTTCCCTGCTCCCCAGGCCCGGGACCCTCCCACCTTGGAGGCCGGGGGTCTCGGGTCCCGCCCAGGGGACGCCTACCTGCCTCGCTCATGAACTTCTCCTTGTTGTCCAGGGTGCAGTCCTTCTTGCAGGTCTTGACGGCCACGTTGGTTTTCTCCCCTTTCTGCAACAGGAGCGTGTTCAGGGCCCTGCGGTCCAGCCTGGGGCTCAGAAGAGCATGTCCCCTCCCGGCCTCACCCTGGTCCTCCCATAGATGTCACCACCAGCCAGGGGAGGCAGGGGATGTCTTTCTCCTGTTTCTCTCCTCTTCCTCTCCTCTCCTCCCCACTTCCTTTCTTCTGGGTGAGGCTATGCTAGAACTGGACAAATAACTCCAGCCTCTGGCTGTCCACGTGAGGACGCAGGGGCCACATGCTCTGCCTAAAGTTAGGAGCATGTGGCAGAGCACCTGCAAGGCCATCGTCAGATGTTATCGTCAGGTTTTAAGTTCTTTTTGCCCTTTTCCTGGACTTGGCCTTTCTCCCGGGCCTGCTAGAAGCTCGACTGCAGACGCCAGCCTTGCCTGGTCCATCAGGGGCCTTGAGACTAACTCCGCCTGGGGTCCTGCCCTTCCTTTCCTCAGAACCACATCTTCAGTTCCTGCCTCCATTTCCAGCCTGGTATTTTGTTCCCCTTCTTGAAAATGACCCCTGTCTGCGTCGTTCCCCGGGCACTTTGTAAAGATTGTCGTGCCAAGTGGATGAGGGGCCCCGTGTCACGTGGCTGCCTCTGACCCGCTCTGATTTGAGCTCACAGCCCAGCAGAGGAGGAGTGTCAGGGAAGTGCATGGAACTCACGTGATTCGTGTAGACACCTTCATAGACCTCCCCAAAAAAGCCTTCCCCGAGGATACGATTCAGAACCACGTCTTCCCGGGCGACGCCATACTGTGGGCCTGCAGCCAGAGGAGGCAGAGGGTCACGGAGCACCCAGAACAGCCAGCGTCCCATGGAGAGCCTGAGTGTCACCAAACCCCCAACAACACCTCAGCCACGATCCAAAGGCTGGGCTGGGAAAGAGTCTAGAAGGTTCCATCGTCTCAGACCCAGGGAAGAGCCATCACCCTGTCCCCTCCGAAGACTGGGTCTCGGTTCACAATTTTAGCATCCCCACCCAGCTCCACAGGTGCACAAAAGGTCAGTCAGCTCAGGGAGATAAAAGAACAATCTCGGCTTTCAAATCAAAGGCGCCTGTCTGAGCCACACACAGGAGGATACAGGAAGAAAAGGATGTTCCCTGTGGTGACATGTGAGTCCTCACGATGTCACTTCATGGGTGTGGTCACCGTGGTGGGGTCAGGACCTACCTCCGGACCTTCGCAGGGTCTCGTCGGGAATCTCTGCGTAGATGTCTGACTCTGGAATGACAGGGAGATGCCGTCGGTGGGCACTGCCAGGAACCAGGTGTGTGGCTCCCACCTGGAGGCCAGTGGGGCCACAGGGGCGGGGTGGGCAGAGAAGCCAGACGAGTCCTGGGCTCCCATCCCAGGCTCCAGAGCGGCCACACAGCCTAGGGGACCTTGGCTTGAGCTCCTGCTCCCCACTTCCCAGTCGTGTTATTTAGGGCAAGTTGGTTACTGTCCTCTAATCTCAGTTTCCCTTTATGTGAAGTGGATGTCTCTGGGGAATGTTGTCAAGATTGAATAAAATAGTACCTGTTACATTTTAATATCATTACAGACTGAATATGTGTCCCCCCAAAAAATTCATACATGGAAGCCCTAACCCCATCGTGATGATGTTAGGAGGAGGGGCCTTTGGGAGGTGATTAGGTTGTGGGGGGTCAAGCCCCCCATGATCGGATTAGTGTCTTTATAAGAAGAGAAAGAGAGAACAGAGCGTGTGAACACTCTCTCCCTCTCTCTCCACCATGGGAGCACACAGTGAGGGACCGCCATTTGCAAACCAGGCACAGAATCTGCCAGTGCCTTGGTCTTGGACTTCCCAGCCTCCAGAACTGTGACAATCAATCTCTGTTGTTTTTTTTTTTTTCCTGAGACAGAGTCTTACTCTGTTGCCCAGGCTAGAGTACAGTGGCATCAGCCTGGCTCGCTGCAACCCCAAACTCCTGGGCTCAAGTGATCCTCCTGCCTCAGCCTCCCAAGCAGCTGGGACTACAGGTACATGCCACCATGCCCAGCTAATTTTTTCTATTTTTAGTAGAGACGGGGTCTTGCTCTTGCTCAGGCTGGTCTCGAATTTCTGAGCTCAAGTGATACTCCCGCCTCGGCCTCCCAGAGTGCTAGGATTACAGGAATGAGCCACCACGCCTGGCCATAAATGTCTGTTTTTAAGCCACCCAGTCTGTGGTGTTTTGCTACAGCAGCCCAAGCAGATCAAGATAAACATGGTGCCACATAGTAACCACTCAGTACATGCTAGCTGTTACTGTTCATGACATTTGTCAGCCGTCGTTGGGAAGTGACAGGGGAAGGTCATTTTTCTATAACTCGGAGGAAACCCTTGCCCCCTTTGCGAGAGCAGGCAGCAGTAAGCAAGCGGAAAGGAGGCAGGGGCGCCGGCAGGGGATGCAGTGGGCAGCTTACCGATGCTGCAGCTCTCTGAGAGGTGGGACCGCCGGGCCTCCAGGGTTCTGCAGGAGGAGGTGAGAGGGCAGGAGCTGGTGAGCCCAGAGCCAGCCATGTTCCCCTGGGCAGCCTCAGCCCACCATCTCCACCCACCCCATATGGAGAGGCAGCCCGTCCTGATGAGCACCACCTGGGAGCACGGCCCAGGCTGCAGGGGCTGGAGGGGAGGGGCCCGCAGTGATCTCCCTAGGATAACACCAGGCGGCATTAGGACACGGCAGTATTCCTCCCAGTGTTTACTGGGGGTAGGGGGGAGGGCGCCCTTGTGAAAGCCAAGCCAGGGTTCCAGTGTTCTGGAGCCCAGGAGCCAGAACTGCATGTGAGGGCCCAGTTTGTTCTTTCTTCTCTCCGCAGACGCAGCTGGAGCTCGGGCCCTGTCCTCTGCCTCCCTGTGGTACTCACAGCATGGGGATCTGGGGCAGGCTGCTCCGCTTCTCACCGTCTGGGGAGAGAGGAGGGAGAGGGAGGTTGGGAGTGTGAGCACAGGAGCCTGGGTGGGCGGCTGACCTCCTCACGGCTCCCACAGGGGAGGGCCCCCATCTTCCTCTTCCATTCTCCCTTAGCTGCAGAGTGGGGGTCAGGGAGGCCTCAGGCCACAGCTGGGGTCCTCCTTGCAGGCTGCCTCCTGCCAGACTCCACATGCCCCCGCCCGGCCCCCCACGTCCTGATTGCAGCCCCAAACAGAGATACACTGGAGGGACAAGTCGCATTCTAGCAATGACTTTGCACTTCCTGGGGAGACAAACACCTTCCCTCCAGGAGCCGGCCTCTGCGTGGCCCTTGACCAGAAGGGCCAGGGGTGGAGGGTGGAGGAACAGGGCCTATAGCCCGAGATGGGCCCACAGGAATCGTCCGGCGGGGCCAGTGAGAAGCCTCTTCATCCACTTATCGGTCGACAGCTTAGCATCTCCCACTCCGCCTCTGGGGACTTGGCTCAACAGTGCCGGCATCCACAGTCCGGCCACTTTGCCTTTAAGTGGAACCCACCTTTCCTGGGGTGGATGATAAGAGAGCCTCCATGCTCCCCCTGCAGCCGGCAGTAGCCGTCTATGAGGTCGGCCATGTTCTCAGCCTCCGCAGGGGACGAGGTTTTGATGGACAAAGCCTGCAGAGAAGGGACCGGCCACGGTGAGACCCCAGAGCCTCGGCTAGGGGCTGCCCCCCAGGGCTGGAGGACTTCGGGACATGCCACCCACCCCTGCCAGGTGCCACCCACACCTCTCCTGGGCTCGGCTCCCTCCCCGCGGCCACCAGGGGGCGCTCTGTCACCCCTCCCAACCCAGCGCCCTGGGCGCTCTGAAGGCCGGTCCCAGGCCTGGCTTGTTTAAAGGCAGAAACCGAGAAATGGGAAGTGGGAGGGAGCGCGGCAGGACAGATGGACTAAAGGAGAGAGAGAAGAAGGGCCTGCACTCTGAGCTCTTTTACCCACACAAACCCCACGCTGCTGAGGCCTCGGTTTCTGGGTCATTGTTCACTTGGCAAAACCCAGGCCTCTGATTTGTACCTGATTTCCGGTCACCTGACCTACCCTAAAACCTTTCCCAATTTCCTTCCTGACAGGTAAAAAAAATGTCTCCTGAATGTCCTTATAATTTATCAACATCCTGGCATCTTGTCTAAGCACTGGGTTAACAAGATCCCAAAAGCCAGGAAACTCCTGGCCTCCTGCCTGCCCTGGTCTGCAGCCTGAGCAAGGCCCCCCACCCTGCAGTGACGCCCTGTGGAGCGCCCAGGTGTCCCGGTGCCCAGTGACACTCACCTGGGGGGCGCCCTCGATGCCCAGCTGCAGCACCGCCTGGCCCTCCTCCAGCGGGAGGCACCGGATGGACTTGATGTGCCTGAACTCGGCCAGGCAGGTGGGCTGTGGGGAGGGATGGGGCCCTTCAGACCATCCCACCGTGGGGAGCAGGGCCGTGCAGATTAGTCAAGGGTGGGGGTGGGGCGGGGGCGGGGCAAGGAGGAACTGGGAGTCTCTCTTGGGGGCGAAGAGAGAATCAAAAACCATTCGGGCCAGAAGGATCGTCTAGTCCCAGCCCTTCACTTTGCAGGAGAGAAAACGAGGTCTGGAGAGAGCTGGGACTCGCCCAGGGTCAGGTGCCGGGTTGGCAGTAGAGCCATGACCACACCCAGGTCCCCCCGACTCCCAGGGGAGTCTTGCCCCATTTTGCCAGAGAAAGAGCAACTCTTCCATCAGAGCCAGGAGAGTAACAAGGGCACCGTCACTCCCACCTCCCGGCCCCACACCAGCCTTGGTGCAGAGGACAGTCGCGAGTGGTGAAGAACCATCTGCCCCACCTGCGACGCCCAAGCACCCCCATGCAGCTGCTCACTCCAGGGCACGGCCTCGGGAGGAGTTTGCTGTCAGTGACAGGGACAAGGACAGCCATGGGACAGATGGGGCAGGGGCAGCAGAAAGCTGCAAAGACCTCTCCGCCTGGGCTGGGTAGGGCTGCCCCGGCCTCTCTCTACCTTTGCGTCTTGACTGGTCAGCTGGCGGATGCCTTTAGGGCCGATGACCAGGTCCACAGTGATATTCCATCCTTGCTGGAATAAAAGGGGAGCAGATCGTTGCCCCAGTTCTGCCCACACCATCACCCAGAAATCTGTAGGAAAGCCCACTGGGCTAGACAAAGGCCACTGTCTCCTGGGCCCTCCAGCTCCTCTGCCCGAAACCCATCAACTTCTCCCACCTGCCCACCTCCCGGAGCTGGCGGCCAACACTTCAGTCCCCGCATCAGGCAAGTGGATCAACATTGATTCCACCGTAGGCAGCTCCGGGAGGCCCCGATGCCCCAGGCCCCACAGCGAGTTTGGCCTTTCCCGGCCCCTGGAGTTGGGCCCCGGCCCCTTTCCCGAGGGGCTTGGGATTCGGGTCGGGGCGAGGACAGAGGGACGCGCCCTCACAATGAGTTCACAGCGATAGGTCTCCTGGTCGATGTTGGCAAAGCCGGCGAGCGTGTTGAAGAACTTCATGACGCACTCCTCCTCCCGGAGCGAGGCGTACTGCTGGAACGTCTGCTGGATCATCTTGCGGAGCTGCTTGGGCTGGGGCAGAGACGAGGTCAGCCGGCCCGCTGCCCTGTGCTCCGACTCCTTCCCGGGGTCTCACTGAAGGGCCACCCCCTGCCGGAGGATGGGCCCCAGGGCCTGTGCTCGCAGTGGCAATCTATGACCTAAAACACCCCCATTCCACCATGGCCCTGTGAGGGAGGCAGGGCGGCATCCCAGAGCTCCGGCCACAAAGCAGATAAGCCTGACATGGGCGGGAGCCTGGGCTCGTCACATCCCGACTTCCAGCCCCAGAAGGGGCCCAGGATGCACTCAGTTGTCCTGTGTCCCCATGCTCAAGGCGGCAGATGCCCTGGCTTCTCCCAGTGTCCCGGCCTGATCTGTTCAGCTCTAGCCTTGGGGCCCAGCACAAAGGGGTCTTTCTGAGCCCCCACCTGCCGGATTCCTCACCTTTAAGTTCTCCTGCATCTGCTTTGGGAAAAACAAGTCCAGCCCCACTTCCTTTCTGAAAAAAGGAAAAAAAAAAAAGCAGCGTTTGACTCCCTCACCCACACCCCAGGACTTCTGGCCAATCCAAGAGCTTGGGGACTAGGAGACGGACCCCGCCTGGCTCTGGGGGAGGCATGGGGTGGGGTAGGTAGGGCCCCAGGACTTACTCCAGGAGCTCGAAGTTGGACTTCTTGTCCAGCGCGTTGTGGGGCATGTCCTTGAAGAACCGCCTGGAGAGAGAGGGAGGGTGTGGGGAGGGCGGCTGATGGCTTGGGGGTGGGGCCGTCAGGACTGGGGCACCCATGCCCGGGGGTTGGCCTGGAAGCCCCTTCCCTGCCAGATGTGGGAATTCCCAGGAGGGAGGAAGTTATAAAAGTCATAAAATGTGATATTTAAAAACTGAGAGGAAAAGGAAACCCCACGAATTTCATTCCCAGAAAAGACTCCAGCCTTGAGCTCTGGGAGGCCCACTCTAGGGCTGCGTGGTTGTGGGGCTGAGGAAGAAGAGGGCAGCTCCGTGAACACAGGACCCCAGGCAGAAAATGCTGGAGCTACCAGCCTCGGAACACACCTCCACCTTCAGGTCCTGGGTTCCCTTTGTGACGTTTTTCATTTATTTGCTGTCTCTGGGATATTGTATGTGTGTATGTGTATTTTGTGTTCATCTAAATAATTATTAAATGTAGTACTGCACATACAAAAACTTTGGAATTCATAGAACAGAAGAAAATGAAAATAATCTGTAGTCCTGCCACCAGACGTGACATCTATTAATATCTTAAATATGTTCTCTAAGTCCCATTTCTCCTAAAAGTGTATATTTTGATAAAGATTTTTACGTATTTTTATTTGTAGCAATTGTGTTTGAAGCCAAGACCCAATAGCCAATGTCCTCACATTGCTGGCCTCCCTTCCCTGTCTAGGTCACTGTGTCTAGTAATTTTATTGACCGTTGTAGACATGGCCCTTCTACTGATCTTATAGTAAAGTAACTCAGTGTTCCATTAACCTAGTGTCCTTATAGACATCTGGGAACAGTTTTGTGCTGATAATACTACAATCAGAGAGAGGCAAGTGACTTACAATTCAAAAGCAATGAATTTAGACAGTTCATTGTGTTTAGAAAATAGGAAAATTAGATCCTCACTTTATCGAGAATATTGTATTCTATCTAGAATATTTTTTATACTCTATCTAGAATACTCTATACTCTATCTAAAATATTTATTCTAGATGAATTAAAAGATAAATGTAAATAATTAAGCCATTTTAAAACTAGCAAAATTCTTGGAAAGTATTTCCAAGTCATTGGGTCAAAAAGAACATCCAAAGCATGAAATCATGGAAGAAATCCCCAGTAAGAACTTAGAACATGGAATGTCATATACTTAACAATTTTTAATAAATGTTGTCTTTGACCATATTGCCAAGCAAAATAAATAGTTCTCTCTTAACAAATATCATCCCAAATTTAGAAAAATAAATGCGTTGGAAAAAATGAGAATGGATCTACCCTCTTAGTGGAGGTCATCTCTGGCTCATTTGAATTCCAGGTAATTTTAAAAGTTTCTTACCCTCCCTCCCGTTTTTTTCACATGTTTCCAATATTCCGCATTGAACAAATATTACCTGTTTTACTTGAAAACAAATTTAAGGCAGTGAGTTTAGTCAAACCATCATCATGTGAATCATCGGATAGTCCATGCTCATTGCCTGCCCAGGTGGCCTGCCCTGTGGCTACACATTTACCTGGAGACTAAGTTGAATCCCTTTCTTAGATGCCACTTATTTTATCATGAGCTTCCTCTATGGTTCCCCCTCCTTGACCCTTGGGGTCCCCAATACACACACATCAGGTCATTCTCCTCAATTGCTTTGACTATTTCCCTTAGAGGAGCAAAAACGATTCAAAGTAAAAATGAGAATGAGAAGGATGGAGCCCCGTGACCATAGCACAATGAAACCAGCGGCCTTTCTACCTGGGGCAAGGTGAGTCTGTTTAAAATGCGGTGGGTTGGAATGGAGGGAAAGCAGAAGAAAAAAAGTCTCTTACAGAAAAGTTTTCGTACAGAATCAAGAATGACTACATTAAACGAGCATTAAGGAGTCATAACATTTTGTGATGGCTCAGTTAATATTATTGAATTCTGATCTTACAATGTTGAAATATATCTCTATCTTCTTCCAAGGAAAGAAAGTCCGAAAACACGTTCAATAAACTAGGACTAGAAGGAAATCAAGAAATGAAATAAAGAATTGGCAACCCCGCAGCAAATATTTTCTTTTAGTATAGGTTTGGAATTTGGGTACCTACCCTGGCTGCCAGGGTAGTAGATACAAGACCTCATTTAGGATAATTTATCAAGCGAAAACATTTGCCATAAAGGATAGATTTCATTACTTAAATTAAAAAGTTTGAAAAGCCAGTGATTAAAAGAAAATTAATATCCTCAATATTCATTTTACCAAAAGTAAGAAGCCAATGTCATATTTTTTTTCTCCTGTTGCAATTTTGGTAAATACCAATGGCATAACATTAAAGCACAATTCAGTGAAGGTGATTGTTCAAAGTTCTAACTAGACATGGCCTGAGGATATGGCCTTCCAATGATCTAATTCAGTGGTTCCCAACTGGGGGCAATTTTGCATACCCCTTGCCAGCCTGAAACATCTGCAATGTCTGGAGATATTTCGGTTGTCATTCCTGGCTCGGGGGGAGGGGTTGCTATTAGCATCTAGTGAGTAGAGCCCAGTGATGCTGCGAAACATTCTACAATGCACAACAGGCCCCCATGACAAAGAATTTATCCAGCCCAAGATGTCACTAGTGCTGAGGTTAGGAAAGCCTGGGAGAGAAAACTCTTTCAACCAAGGGGAGAACTTAGGAAACTAAGAAGAGTGGCTCTTCCCACCCCTACTTTTCTCCACTGGGTTTCTGACAGAGCGGGTCAAAGATGGCACCTGACAAGGAGCGTTTTAGCTGACTAAGGGCAGCTCTGCAGACTTGGAAGTCAGACAACCGTAGGGAGGGAGGGACATTCAGTTATAGGACACGAGGTGCCCATCCAGGCTGGAGAGGGGCTGCAGGTAAGACCCCAAAGTTCCCCACGGCCAATCGTGGCAGCTTTAGAAAGTGTTCCAAGCCCAATGTTACCTGGTCACCCTCCACATTCATAAAAATCTCAGAGCAGGATGGCCATCTGCAATCCCACCAGGCTGAGTGAGCTGCAAAAGGTGCTTCTAGGTAACTGAACAAATTGGCTTGCTGTACACAGCTCTTGGCACATGGCCACCGAGGACGAGGACTTTAGTTCTTTCAGGTTACCCATGCATTCAAGCATGTGTTACGCTCTCATGCACCAGGCAAAAGGCAGCGCTAACCCTGACTTCGGGATTCGATGGGATTTCACAATCTAGTATTAATACACGGAGCTATGTATAGCACGGCGGCTTCGCAAAGGAGGCCGGAGGGGGTGAGGATGGAGCAGAAAAGGTTTCAGGATGAAGAGACCCTCGAGCTGGCTTGGGAGGAAGAGCAGATGGTCACGCCGTGTGTAACTGACACTTCCCGGGCCTGCTCTGAGGTTTCCTGTGAGTGTACGGGGCAGGCAGGTGACACCGCTCAGTAACTTTTCCAATGCTGCCAGAATAAAGAAGAATTTGCTAGTCTGGAAAGGAGAACAAGAAGGCCGTACCAAACAGAGGGGATGCAGCACCCACCCAGGGGGTGAGAGCTGCTTCCCAGCCCCAGGCCAGAGTGGTCTCTGACCGTCTCTTTTGGCTGCATTGTTGAATGAACGGATGAGATTTGAGACTCCTGATGAAAGAATGCCTGGGATATTTAAATAGTAAATTAAAGGAAATTAGGGTTAGTTAAATCAAAGGTTGAACGCATTTTGAAATTAACACTGAGAAATTAAAATGCATGAAAAATAATAGTAATTTTAGAACGATTAGGAGGTAGTGAATGGGAAAATGTTTTATTAGGAAAAAGGAAGCTCAGCTAACACACCTAGGGCATCCCGATCTCCTCACTCCTGCTTGCTTAGCTCACTCGCTATGTCCCCGAAGGGCCTCCTCTCAGGCCCTGAAGATCGTTTATAGCCTTGCTGTTGACGAAGGTGCCCAATCCCTCAAATGGGCCACAGTCTGGGTGTTTCTAACATTTAGAGCAATCGAACGTCATTGGGATGTCTGGGAGAACCAGTAACCATCACCAGTCAGAGACACTGCTGTCCCCAGGGAGTGAGCTTCTGTGCTGAGTGTCATCTCAGCTGTCAGCAAGGGGCACTCGGTTATCCCAAACCTGTCTGACCGCCATCTGGGGATGAGGCTGCGCCTGCCAGGGGCGCCCTCTGGTGCCTGGCTGGGGGACAAGCCTGCGAAGTTGAACAGCTAACACCAAGCGGACGGCGGAGTCTACAGGTAGGTATCAACCAGCCTGTGACTTGTACCAAGGCGAGAACAGCAGAAAATAAAGAAGCATCTTTGCAAAATCTGGTTGGCTATGTTTGTCTTCTAAACAGCAGTAGAAACATTAACACGTTATCAACATTTAGAAGCAAAGCAAGCTGCATGTTCTTTCTCTAATCTTGACTTATCATCAGTTACGACTTAACCAATCTTGGGTTACACATTTACTCTGATGTTTTAGGTCAGAGGATTCTGGGGCTCTGCTGGGGGTGGGAAATGGTCCTGGGTGTGTCAGGTTAAGGGAGAAAAGTTGTTTGGTTCCTCAAAGTGGGCAGGTACTAATTTCTAGCATACAGGCCATGGATTTCAAATTTTAATTTATAGGGGGATATTTAGATAAAATAATATATTTGGCATTGATAAACCACCTCCGATAAATCATTACAAATTAATTAGGTATCATTCCACCTGTATCTCATTCTGGAAAAGGCACAATTATGGCAACAATAAAAAGATCGATGGTTGCCAGGGTTAGCAGGGAGGGAGGGATGAGTAGGCGGAGCGCGGAGCATTTTCAGGGCAGCAAAGCGCCTCTGTATTACACCACAATGGTGGGTACACGCCATTATACATTTGTCCAAACCCACAGAACGTACAACACCAAGACTGAGCCCCAACGTAAACTATAGACTTTGGGTGATAATGACATGTCAATATAGGTTCATTGATTGTAAGGATTGGACCCCAGGGGGTGGGGGAGGTTGTCGATAATGGGGGAGGCTGTGCTTGTGTGGGGGGAAGGGGTATATGAGAAATCTCTGTATGTTCTGCTCAATTTTGCTGTGAACCTAAAACTGCTCAAAAAAATAAAGTGTGTTAAACATAGAGAAAGAAATAAAATAAGGGTAAGGATTAAAAAATCAGTAAAAAAGGACAGTTATTGAATACTTCTGTCCCTGTCACTGTTCTAAGTACTTTAAATACATCAATTTATTTATTTTGCATAAAAACCTTGCAAGGTTGCTACTATTACTAATCATTCCCATTTTAAAGATGCAGAAACTGAGGCACAGAGAGATTAAATGACTTGCCCAGAGTAACACAGGAAACAGAAAATTCTGCTGAGGATTCATTTCACTAATGTCATATCTCATGCATACATAATACTATTTTTTTTAAGCTAGGAAAGAATATATATTTTTTTCCCCTGGAGACACAATATCTGTAGGCAGGTGACCGAGCCATGATGTCAACAGGACTATTGCCCATGATTTGTGGGAAGGCCTACACTCTGGAAGCTTTTCAGCCAAGAGACACAGCCCTGGGAAATTCTGCCTTATGGCCTGATTTTCAGAAATGTGTCTGACTCTTTCTTGGCGAGAAATAGTTGTCACTTGCTTTTAAAATAGCCCATCATAACATACAGCTTTGCATTCAACTTTAAAAATGATCAGGCCTGAAATCTTCTATTAGGTTTACAACGTAGGTATGTTTCCCGCCTTCTCCCTAACATCCTATTCCCTGTACCTCGATGGTCAACCGGCAAGAATAGGAACCTCTCTCTGACTCTGTTCCTCAGACTTGGGAGATGTGAAACAATAGCCTCTTTCACAAAACAAGTGTGGCTTTTGGGATAATCCTTAGCTGGTTCGACAGCAGACATCACAGATTGCCCGCTCCCGACAAGACTGTCTGCAAGAGCCACGTCCTGGGGCTGAAGCTAACGCCAGTGATAGCCTGCGATGATTGGAGGATACAAGAACATGAACCAGAATGCTGATGGCTCTTCTCTGCGCTGCTATGTTACTAGGAGTGATGACTGACAGGTGACTTAAATGACGGGCGTCTCAAAGGAGTTCTAGAGTCCTGGGCACGAGGCCCATAAACACAAAGGTAAAGATAAGCTTTTTCGAATTGCCCAATGTCAGAGGGGAAGAAGAGACTGTATGGGAAGTATAGGAGCCACGTGGTCTTGGAAGGCACGGAAGGGCTCAGGTAATAAAATCAACTTCACACACTGCCCCTGGGCTGCCAGCACTGAACTAAGATCTCCAGAAATGGCGGCGAGCCGGGCTGTCCTCTAACCGTCTACGGCGGCTGCAGACTTCCTCTGTGTAGGGGATCCGAGCGCGCCCCTGTGTGCCGAGACCCAGTCACCTAGTATGAAGCCACGGGGAGCCCTTGAGGCTGCCCTTGACCTGTTCTGTCAAAAACGCCTAGAATGTCAGATGCTGAAATCTCAGTGCGACCTCACTTTCCCATCCCATGGTTCTTCCCCCACGGGGGGACCCAGGATGGGCCAGAATGCCCCAGCGGCCCCCCAGCTCTGTAGAAGCAGCAGCAGACTTCTACTCTTTGTCAACTTTGAGGCCACAGGCAGGGTCAGAACCGCCCTGGAGCTGCATTTGCAGCTGACCAGAAGCGATCCTTGGCCAAGGTTTCCCCCCCAGTGGTCCTGCAAGCCCCCCATCCACCCTGTGAGGCTCGCTGCACCCAAATCCCCCGGGGCTGGTGCAATATGCATACGCTAAGGACCCCCCAGCACCTGCCAAGCCAGAGTTCCCAAGGGTGGGGGCAGGGGACCTCTAGTTTATTAAGCTCCCAGGTGATTGTGATTTGCAACCAGATGTTGAAACTACTGCTCTAAGACAGATAAGGGGTAGCGAGAAGGGGAGGGGAGGATGGAAAGGGGTGGGCTGAAACTAAATGGGGCTGCCTTGATCAAGACAGGGCTAGAGCACAGCTCTAGCCTTGTCATCCTCCTCTGTCCCAAACAGCAGTGGCCCCTGACAGCCAGGGATAAGGTCTAATAAGAAATTAAGGTCTAAGAAAGACTGCCGTGCTAATGATGTCATTCTAATGATGTCATCACAGTGATGTCATTCTAATGACGTCATTGGCCTGCCATTGTACTGACGGTGGCTTCCGCCATCAGCCCCAACTCCCAGTCGAGAGCCAAGCCACGTTTCGCCCGTCTGTACTCTTCCTTCCACCGATGCCCAGACCTAGAATGCATTTCCCCCACCCCTGCTTCCACCCCCTGCCGTTTGAGGTTTCTCTTCCTCCCAGGAGCAGTTTAAAGACCCTCTTCCCGAGGCTGTCGGGATTGAGGCCCCTGCATGGAGTCTGTTAGGCACATGCTCATTCTGCGCCATATTATGAGGAATTGTATACCACCTGTCACCTCCCAAACACACATTTGGGGGCATCTCTGAATGCTTTACGAATTCTGCACATATGCACCGAGTGCCCTGGAGATGGGGACACAGCAGTGGGCACCACAGGTGGAAATCCCTACATTTGCACATCCCCCTGAGCCTAGCCGGTGCTCTAGGAACAGCTGCTGAGTTGCTTGAACAGCAGCAGAGATGATCGGGGGGTAGAAGCCACCTGGAGGTCAGAGCAGTGGCGGGTAAAGTGGCCAGGGGAGTCAGACCAGAGCAGGAGCTGGCCCTGCAGCCCCGAGGACCAGGTGCCGGGCAGCTCCGAGCCTCGCCCTCTGTGGGCCACACTTTCCCCCTTCCCGGCTCTCACACCCCCGACTCTTGCTTCCCACTTGGAAATGAGGGAAGGCCAGGCCAGTCAAGACCCCAGCACAGCGCCCTCCCAGGGGGGCCTCGAGGCCACCTACCTGAGCTCCAGACAGCCCAGCTGCAGGGCCATGCCCTCGCTGACCTTGCTGGCGTAGCGCTGCATGTAGTCGTTCCGGAGCTGGCGAGGAGAAGGGCTGAGGGTTACACTCACACCCGCACCCCTGCTTCCCTGGGCGGAGGCCATGGACGAGGAGGGGCTCCTAGAACACAGTCCTGCCCCGCTGAGGCCAAGCCCTCGTGCACACCCGCCCGCCAGGAACGAGCACGGGGCAGGGACGGAGAGCTCAACTCCCCCAGCTCCTCCTCCCTCTGGAACCCAGGAAGACGTCAGGGTCATGGGCCTTTTGAGGCACTTCCACACACACTCTCTCCCTGCTCCACTCTGGAGAGAAGGAAACTGAGATTTGGGGAGGAGCCAAGAATTCATCCAAAGCCCTGTTGGTAAGTACTGAGAGATGTCATCAGCAGTCCAAGAAAAGCCTGGCTCGGTCTCTAGCAAGCTCAGAGGGTGAGGAAGGAGGGATTTGAGTCCAGACAGAAGGTCACGAGGGCCCCTCCTGGGGACACCGTGCCTGCTCTGTGCCCGGTGCTGTGCCGGGCGCTTTTTTACAAGCATGACATCCAGCGGCATGTCGGACAACATAGCAACTCCTGAGAGCCGTTACTAAATTTTCAGGATTTTTGCAAGGAAAGCAATGTCCTATCGGTAGCTTGACATAGGTGGTGGTGGGAGTGTGTACACCGTGGAAATTGGCAAGTGGTACACTGCCGGGACTTTTAACCAATTAACCAATTAACCAGCACACTGCCAGCGATACCATTCGGTCCTCACAGCAACCCTACAAAGTGGGTATTCATCATCATTACTATCCCCATACTGATTTTATAGAAGAGGGAACAGCTTCGTGCAGGTAAAGGAAGGCCCCAGGACAGCAGGTTAGGAGATGGCAGAGCCGGCTGGGAAGCGGGCGTGTGAGCTGCGGGGCTATGACGGGCACTGCAGGCTTCTCTTTGGACCTGCTCCTGCTGTGTCACCAGCCAGGTCTCCCAGGCCACCAGGGAAGTCCAAGAGGAGCTGGGGGGCACCTGGGCAGCTCAGCCAGCACTGAAATAGCTGAGAGAAGCAGGGTTGGAGCTGCTGACCATGGACCAAAGACATGTTTTCCAGAGATGCTTCCTAGACTAGGTCCTCGAAATCCGGGCTTAGCCTTTCCATCTGCCTAGAAGAGGATCGATGATACTTAGCATCTGGGGGCCCTGGGACACTGGGGGTGGGAAGATAAAGTACTTTTTACCTGTTGGTAAAAGTAAAGCAGCGTGGTCCTGTCTTTCTTCAAGCTCTCCATGAAGTCTTCCGGCAAGTAGCGGATCTGAAGGTCGTACCTGCGGCAGGACATTCGCACTCTCTGGTGACACTGGGAAGCTGGAATGGGAACCTAAGGGAGGGAGTGGGACCCCCAAGGGCAGAAGCAACCCCTCCCCCAGCGTGCAAGGGGCTGCCATGGGCTCCCGGCCACCCATGTGGGACTCGTTTCTTCTTTCCTTCCTCTGTGGTTGGGCAGAGGATGGCAGACAGAGTGGCCAGCAGGTGGTGGTCGCAGCTAGCCCCGACTGTGCATCTCTTCTGCCTCCCTGACTGTGCATCTCTTCTTCTGCCGCCTGGCGACTGCCAGGTTCACAGGCCGCCCCAGCCTAGGCTGTCTGCCCCCCTGCCCTTCTAGTCCCTTTCCTCACAGCACCAACAGCATCCTGTGCACAGGTATTCCCAGATACCTGCCCCAGGCTGGGGCTACGCTGAGCGTCCAGGTTAGACCTCAGAAAATACCCGCATCGGCTGCTGCAGGAGGACTAGGCCTAGAATGCCACTCAGATTTTCCAAACACTCTGAGGCTGGGGACTGCTCTGAGGGATGACCTCCCAGCCCCACATTCCTCTTGTCCCGTCCCAGAGCCCAGGACTCGCCTCCTACCTCCACTCGGCTTCCACGTGGAGACACTCATACTTGTCCTGCACCTCGCCCACCGTCATCTGCGGGTGCAGCCAGTGGATCTCGTCCGACTTCATGTGCTTCAGCCTCAGCCCGTAGCACTCGGCCAGCTGGATGTTGGGCCCAATGCGGCCGCTCAGCAGGATGGAGGTGATGATCTCCTACGGGGAGGGCGGGGAGGGACACGACTCAGCGGTGTCCCCCTCTGGGTTCCCACAGTCCTCATGTGGGCCCTGGAATTGCGACTCTCCAGGGTGGGATTCTGTCTCCGTGTCTCATTTGTATCTGACTCTCTAGCACTAGTGCACGACTTGGTACGCGATGTGCTCTGTCTGATGAGGGAACAATTTGGCGACAGAGACAGAGGACCTGGGAGCAGAGAGCAGAAGTGACGGAGGAAACCCAGAGAGGCGAGAGCACAGTTTCTGTGCTTCTGCACTGATTCCAGCCAAGCCGATTTTCAATCACCTTGCGTCACTGAGTGTCTCACCAGGCACTGCGCACATCATTTCATCGCATCCGCACAGCACAGGGAAGCAGGTGTCAGTCACCACTCCCGTGTGGCTGATGAAGAAACTGACACAGGGCCTGCAGCTCGTGGCATTAAGCTGGGGTTTTGAGCCCTGTGCCGTTGGACTCTGAGGATGTCCACTTGGCCGAGCTGATTCACGGGATGGTGGGGCCGGACAAGGCAGAAGGACCAGACCCGCATCAAGAGGTCACGTGCCACAATCCCCACTGGAGAAGCACGGTCACAGGAACGAGTGCTGGCAAGAAATCGGGTGCCCTCTTGCTCCCGCCTTCTTGCTAGCCAGAGCTAACAGGCCACTCAGCCTGGTGCCGTAGCTTCCTGGCCTAGAGCCAGAGCTGGATGGACAGCGGGCAAGCCCCTGTGTCGGGCCCTGCCTCTTTCTGAAATCGCGTTGGCGCCATCTGCACTCTGGTCTCTCCTGTGGTTCCACGTGCAGTTGGTGGATTGGGTACCCTCGGATGCAAAGTTAAAAACTCAGAGAGCACCGACCCATCTCTGTTGGCTATCTTTGCAATGTGCACCCCACCAAGCCTACACCGCCCCAAAGACTGAATAATGCAGAGTAGGTGCTGTCTGACCGGAAAGAGGAAAGGGGCTTAATTATGTAGATTTTATGTTTTTTTAACGTGTCTCCCCAAAAGGTGTCTAATTTAGTAAATCAAATGTAATCAGTTCTTTAATTGGAACAAAAAGAAGGAAGTATACCATGTTTCTCAGAAGCAAATCTGTTCCTTCCTCTGTCCGTCAGGAAAAGGTCATGTGAATATTTAAACACCGGCCTGAAGGAATGCCCAGTTTTCCGGCCACCTGGGCGCCCGTGCGTCTGGGTCTCCCTGCCCCTTGCCAGCTCTCTGGGACCCCATGGAGTCGGGTACCCAGAAGACCCTCAGCCTGAAAAATCCCTTTCCCATTAAAAAAGAAAATGCCCATCAGGGAAGTTGGCGACTACTCTGTGAGACAGATGGGGAAACTGAGGCACAGGATGCACACGTGAGCAGTTGTAACTAATCATGCAGGAATCAGAATCCTCCCCGGGAGGAGGGAGAAGGCTGTGACCAGTGGTACCTCCACAGTGGGAGGGACACGGGTGGGAGGAAGAGTTCAGGCCTGTGAAGGTGACAATTTTGTCATCATCGCCAGCAGTTTCTCCTGACATCCTGCACTGCTCTGTCCAGTGTCGCCCTGTGATATGACCCAGAGCCCCCATGTCACTCCTGGAGCCCCCACCTCTGGTGTTTTTACACTCCGAGCCCTCCCCTGCCCTCGTTGAAACCTAGTTGGCTAATGTCTCATCTCCTCAGGGCTGGGACCCCCGAGTGGTTTATTACCGAAAATCTCAAACGCACGAAGTCAATGGGACAGCGTAACGACCCCTGCGTACACATCGCCCAGCCTCAGCGATGACCACATCCTGTCCCCTGGCTGCATCTGTGCCGCCACTGACTCCCCCATCATGACTCAACTATGACTATTTCTTCACAGTTCTTCTTTTAAAGTAAAAGTTATATACATTAAAACGAACACGTTTTAGTGATACAATGTTGACACATGAATACACCTGTGTAACCCATATCCCAATGAAGATAGAGAACTTTCCAGATCCCTAGAAAGTTCCGCCATATTCCTCACAGTCCACCCTCACAGCCCGCTCCCACCCCCCACCACGCTCAACTAGTATTGCCTGTTCTAGAATTTCACAGAAATGGAATCATGTAGAACTTCGGTCCCCAAGCCCCAGGCTGTGGACCAGTACCTGTCTGTGGCCTGTTAGGGACCGGGCTGCAGAGCTTTGCCACTCCGCCCCCCGACCCTGCCGGTCCATGGAAAAATTGCCTTCCATGAAACCAGTCCCTGGTGCCAAAAAGGTTGGGGACCACTGCTATAGAATATACTTTTCTGTGTCCACCATTTTTGATGCAGCATAATGTCTGAGACCTTCACATTGTTGCATATAGCAGTCATTGGTTCCTTTGTGCTGATGGGTAATATTTTACTTTGTAAATGAACCACCATATGTGACATTTGGGCTATTCCTAATTTTCAGCTATTGTGAATTAAATTGCTACGAACATTAACGTACAAGTATTTTTGCGCATGTATGTTGTCATTTCCTGTGGATAAACACTGAGGGGAGAAATGACTGGGTCAAAGTATTATAGATGCATGTTTGACTTTATAAGAAACTGCCAGATTGTTCTACTTTGTGTTTTCGCTGTGACACGAGATGTCTGTTGCAACACATCTTCACTAACATGTGGTGTCGTCAGTCTTTTTAATATTAGCCATCTCAGTGGGCGTGCATAGTAGTATCTCAATGTGCCGTTCAATCTGTGCCTCACTGATGACTGATGACATTGAACACGTCTTCACGTGCTCATTGGCCATTCACGTGGCCACTTCTGTTGTGAGGTGGTTGTTCAAATCTTTTCTCCATTTTTTTTTCTGTTGTATTTTCATTATGGAGTTGCAAGAGATTTTTATACATTCTAGATAAAAGTACTTTGGATGATATATGTCACAAATATTTTCTCCAGGTCTACAGTGTCCCTATTCTTCATTTCCTTATCAGTGTCTTTTGATAGAGTCTAATTTGTCAAAAATTTTCTTTTAGGGCTAGTACTTTCTGCATCCTAAGAAATCTTTGCCTTCCCTCAGGTCATGAAGATATTCCACGTTTTCTTTTATAAGCTTCATAGTTTTAACTTTTACTTTTCATTCTGTGATCCATGTTAAATTAATTTTGGTGTATGCTTCAAGGTAGGGGTCAAAATTCATTTTTGAAAATATAGATCTATAAAATAAAATAAAAATATATAGATCTATAGTTGTTTGGCATTGGTTATTGATGTTGCTTTTCCAAATGAATTTTCTGTCTTTGTCAAAATCACGTTGCTGTCTAAATTTCAATCTATTTCTGAACTCTCACTTTTGTTCTCGATCTTTGTCTATACTGTGTCAATACCACACTGCCTGCATTTCTGTAGCTTTAGATGAGATCTTGAAGATGAATAGGGTAGGTCATCTGCCATTTCCACCTCCAAGATTATTGGGATATTTCGGGCCTTTACATGTCCGTATAAATTTTAGAATCAGCCTGTTACTTTTTGCGTTACGACTGTGATGGTAATACATTGATAGCTTAATGGGGGAAAATTGACATCTTAACAGTACTGATTCTTCCAATCCTTGAACATGGTATACCTCTGTATTTATTTAAATCTTCTTTAGTTTCTCCTATGTTTTATAGTTTTAATGTTTTACAGTTTCAACATATAAGTTTTACAGGTCTTTCGTTAAATTTATTCCTAAGTAGCTTATGTATTCTGATGCTTCCATAGGTTAATACTTTTTTAAATTAATTTTTTGTTTTGGGGCTCACCCACTCTGTGATTTTCCGCCAATCTTCTTGCCGCTCTGCCAGCCCCCAGGTTCTATCCTTAACCCCACAAGCTAGTAGAGCTGCAGCACTCACCACCCTTTGAATCCCCCTCCTAGATTGGAAAGTGCCCTCAGGCCAAAAGCCACAAACTTGCAAATCTCCTTCTTTACAGCTCAGCTCCCAAAGAGCGGATTTCACGCTGGTTTCTGCTTGCTATGGACCCTCTCCAGTGCCCTCGGAGAATTCGCTTCTATATTGTGTCCAGATTTTTATCACTGTTTTCTGCAGGAAGATTAGTCCCACTCAGCTCTCCCACCATTTTTGAAATCTCTGTGCTATTTTATGAACCAATCTGTGTTCTCTGCAAATGGGAGAGGGCTGGGGAGCAGAGAGCCCCTTTCTAGTCACCGACCAGGCAGGACAGGAATGTAACGTAAACCCTGGTGCCAGCCTGCAGTAGTGTCCCATCTGCCCACTGCCACCGCCTAGCTGGGTGTCCTTGGACAACATATGGAAGCTCGTTGGATTCCGTTTTCTCATCTAGAACATGGAGAAAATAACAGAACCTATTTGGAATGGTTCTGTGAGGATTTAAATTAATTAGATAAAACTCCTTAGAACAGCACTTGGCTCAAGATAAACATTCAAAAAAACAGAAGAAAACAAAACAATACCACATCAGCCTTATTTTAACACAGCAATCTCTTGCAGAGGCTGGTGGTTTGTAAACCAGATTGGGAAAGCAAGACAAAATTCTGTTTTTCCCTGAGGATTGGAATTGGAAGTATTGGTGGAACTCATGGCTTTAGAGATAGAAAGGGATAGAGTCAGAGAGAGAGAGAGAGAGAGGGAGAGAATATGAACTTTGTTCACCGAAAGGGCTTAGGAGCAAGATGCTCTGTAGCGATTGCAAACCAAGCACTAAGTTGCAGTTTCCAAACACCTTTCTCCACTAAAAGAAAAATCCAAGCCTCCCTGACGAAATGACTGATTCTAAAGTTGGGGCAAAAAAAAAAAAAAAAAGAGTACAAGATGAGAAGATGAGCCTGGAACATTATTTTGTGCCAGAAAAACAGGAAGTGTTTAGAGAACATTGGGGACACGTAACAACGCTACAGAATTAGCCTGAGGGACTCACATGGGCCAAATCTGGGACAACTTAAGCATTAAGTTATGTGATGATAGGAATGGATTAAATCCTGTCAAATAAAAGAGAATCCAAGAGAGATAAATAAGTGGGGGAGAAGGGA